GTAGTAGTAGTAGTGGTAGTAGTAGTAGTAGTAGTAGCAGCAGCAGCAGTAGTCGGCGTAGTAGTAGTAGTAGTAGTATTAGTAGTAGTAGTAGTAGTAGTAGTAGTAGTAGTAGTATTCGCAGTAGTAGTCGTTGTCGTCGTAGTAGTAGTAATGGTCGTAGTAGATGTCGTCGTAGTCGTAGACGAAGTCGTAGTAGTCGTAGTAGTCGTAGTAGTAGTAGTAGTAGTTGTTGTAGTAGTAGTCTTAGTAGTAGTAGTAGTAGTAATACTACTACTACTACTACTACCAGTAGTAGTAGTAGTAGTAGTAGTAGTAGTAGTAGTAGTAGTAGTAGTACCGTAGTAGTAGTAGTTGTCGTGGATGTCGTTGCCGGAAGAGTTGTACTAGTAGTAGTAGTAGTAGTAGTAGTAGTAGTAATAGTAGTAGTACTAGTAGTAGTATTAGTAGTAGTAGTAGTAGTAGTAGTAGTAGTAGTAATAGTAGCAGTAGGAGTAGTCGTCGTCGTAGTAGTCGTAGTCGTCGTAGTTTTTTTCAGTAGTAGTAGTAGTAGTAGTAGTAGTAGTAGTAGTAGTCGTAGTAGTAGTAGTAGTAGTAGTAGTAGTAGTAGTAGTAGTAGTAGTAGTAGCAGTAGGAGTAGTAGTCGAAGTAGGTTTAGTAGTAGTACTAGTAGTTGTTGTTGTAGTTGTAGTTGTAGGACTCGTAGTACAACGAGGACCCGCTCATACTTAGGGGGAGGAGGCAGAAGAGTAACCTCAAGGCGCTCGCAGGAGTTTCTTTCGAACGCTTTCGCTCGTCTTTCAAGTACATGGTGATTCATGCCGGCCCGTCAATCGTAAATCTTGCGAAAGGCCCTTCGTTCAAGATGCATCTATGTAGAAGACGCGCTCGACCAATCATGCGATCACCTTGGTCCCACCATAAAGCTACGACATCCTTCCACTTTGGATGGTGTGTCCTTCCGTGGCCATTTTGATTCAAGCCATGTTGGCTCACGTTGGGAACTTGCGCCCCAGAAATTCCAGCTTGGTCTTAGCTGAGGAGCGACCGGCCCGAGCTTGCGGGCTGTCAGGTGGTCATTGTGAGCTCAAGGCTGCTTCTGTACTAGCCTCCAAATTCTTGACTCATACATAACGAGGCCACTTTTTTCAAAAGCTTCGCATTTATGGTCTTGACACTGCATCTGGTGAGCTTCCGACACTTCCTGCATTTGAGTGGCAGGTTGCTGATTGAATTGTTGCCCCTTCATCCTGATGACGACTCGAGTGCCGCCCTTACGATCTGGCTGTTGGACGAGTATCAGTTCTCGCATGTGCCGTGGAGCCTCAATGTCGTTCACGATAACATCATGGAATCACTTTGGTTGAGGGCGTCAGCTTTGCCTCTCCAGGCTGAGGTATTCCAACGTGCTGAAACGCTCGCGATCATCAGAATACTGGCGCCCCGGAAATTAGGCGGTAAGCTATGTGTTGCTGGTTTTGATTCGATGGGCGACTACTTGGGCCCATGAGGGCGCTTCTGTCGTCGCGGTTTTCCGCGCTTGCTACCACGCTGTCAATGGACTCCCTCGTGCTGCCAAGCACTGTGGCCGTTCGCTGGCTTACGTGCCTCTCAGGCCGTTCGAGTTTGCACGGTTCCTACTTCGTCTTGCATGACATCTGGGCGTGATCTACAGAGTTCTGACGCTGGTAGCTATGCGCTCACTGGGCCTAGTCTTAAGACCATCTATAAAGTTACAGGCCGGGCTCCAGACCAGTTCGCCTTTCACTGTGCGTGCTGCCTAACGGTGGCCGCCTGTGCATCGGATAGAACAGCGGACTATTAGCTACGCGTTGTGTTTCACTGGTGACGCGCTTCGATGCGCAAGCGCTGATGCTACCCACTGTTCCCACTGTTCCACGACCCTGTTCCTGATAACCTTGCGCGCTGGAACAGAAACGGGCTTTCTACACGCAAACGGATTTCTTCACCCTCGTGCGTAGGTTGAATCGTCGGTCGGGGTCCTTAGGGAATGCGTGGTGCAACCAATTTTGGCCCAAGTACTCCGCCTGAGCCACCTGCAACAGTGGACTCACCGATGACCACGCCGCGTTGTGTAGTAATTACGATCCCGCTGTCAAGAGGGTTGGCAGAGCGTCGCTCGGTCTCCAAGCGGGTGGTCGCCACCTTAGAGACTTGCGGAATGTTGTTTGGTCTTCTAACGATCTCCAGTTTGTGGCATGTTCGTGTGCCGAGTTAGCTATGCTCCTCCGTGTCCGTGCGGCTTCTTTGGGGTGTGCAGAGTCTGATGAGTTTATGTTTCCAGTTGTGCACTGTCTCCATGCCTTCTTCGACTCGTCTAAGTGTGCTAATGTTACGAAGCCCTGCTGTTCAACGTGGCGGACAACTTCGACATCGGCAGACTGACGAACCGCGATTGGGGTATCGGCGGTCAGTTCCCATGGTGGTTGCTTCGTTATTTTGCCTGTCATCCCAACGTGCGTAGCATGGCAGTTGATGTCGCACTATTCCGTGGTGTAGCGCGTAGCAGTATTCAGGCATGATCTGGTTGTCTTGCCAGCGCGGCCTTCTTTTTTCGTTGGTCTAGCTCGGCCCTCGATCACACTTTGGCGATGTATTTCTCCGCGCTGCGCGCCCCCTGTTGATTGCAGAGGTCAGCGATGGCGGCTGCTCCGTGAAGCATCCACCTGGCTGGACTTGTGGAGGTCCATTGTGGCTCTGTGTGCTTCACCTATCCTGGGCGCCTTAATGTTCCCGACCCTCCTGTATGATGGGATTTCGTTTTGAATAGAGCGCTGTGGTCTCCACCTCCTTCTCCCGCATCCCTTTTTCTCCCTGCCTTCCTCCCTGGCGGGACCTCACAGCTCTCTGGGCGGCTCCGAACGGCGCAACCGTCGCCACTCTCGTGGGCTCCGGAGTAGCTGAGGACGCACACGCAGACGGGACTTGGCAGGTCCCTGGGCGGCCGCGAACCGCACAGCCGTCGCCACTTTCGTGGGCTCCCGGGAGGCACGGCGGATTCGCGGAGAACGCATACCCAGGCGGGACCTCGCAGCTCCCAGGGGTGGCTGTGAATTGCGCAGTGGTCGCCCCGTGGGCTCCTGGGGAGGCACGGCTGAGTCGTGGAGTATGCGCACCCAGGCGGGACCTCGCGGCCCCCCTGGGGGTCTGCGAACTGCCCAACTGTCGCCACTGTCGTGGGCTCCTGGAAGGCGGAGTAGGGGGCCACGCGCACCCAGGCGGGACCTCGCAGCTCCCCTGGGGGTCTGCGAACTGCGCAACGGTCGCCGCTTTCGTGGGCTTCCGGGAGGTCCAACGGAGTCGGGGGCCATGAGCACCCAGGCGGGACCACGCTGCTCGTTGGGTGGCTGCGAACTGCCCAATTGTCACGACTTTCGTGATCTCCTGGGAGGTTCGGCGGAGTCGGGAGCCAAGCACATCCAGACGGGACTTCGCTTCTCCCTGGGAGGCTGCAAGCTGCGTAACTGTCACTACTGTCGTGGGCAACTGGGAGGTCCAGCGGAGTCGGGGGCCACGCCTACCCAGGCGGGACCTCGCAGCTCCCTGGGTGGCTGCGAACTGCGCAATTGTCGCCACTTTCGTGGGCAACTGGAAGGCACGGCGGAGTAGTGGAATACGCGCACCCAGACGGGACCTCCCAGATTTCTGGGGATTGCGACTTGCGGAATTGTCGCCACTTTCGTGGGCTCCTGGGGGGTCCGGCGGAGTCGGGGGCCCCGCGCACCCAGCCGATACCTCGCGGCCCCTTGGGAGGCTACGAAGTGCGTCATATTGTTGCCAGTGTCGCAGGCTCGTGGGAGGCACGGCGGAGATGAGGGCAGCGCAGATCTTGCAAATATGGCGGTGTGTTCTTTGTGTGGAGCGTTCATGCAACTATTCGCCTCGCGTGGAGAAGGGGCTCGGTGCGTCTCCGGTAATTATTTACTTGCCTACAGTCGGACCGAGGTATAAGATCGAGGTCGGTTCGGGGAGTGTGCCCTAATGTTCTTCGTGTTTGTTGGATGCTGTTGTTCACCCTGGGGAGGGTACCCTTGGATGTTCGGTTTATTTTGTCCGACGAAGTGTCTCATATTCTTGAAGGATGATCTCCTGGCCTAGGTCCGACTGTATTCGCCTCGCGTGTAGTAGACGGGGTCGGGTACGTCTCGGGTAATTATTTCGTTGCCTATTCTGTGTGGCGTGCATGTACGCTCGCCGAGGGGACAACAACTGTGGATGGTGCGTCTTCGCCCTCAGTGCTAACATGCGCTGCCAGGAGTAGAAGCATCTGCAAACGATTGTGCTGGGTCGGTAACCATCTATTTCCCGATTCTCGTTTTTGGGGTGGGATTTCGCTCCTCCTCCTGCTCCCTCCTCCTCCTCCTCCTCCCCTCCCCCTCCTCCACTTCTGCTCCTCTTTCTCCTTTCCCTCCTCCCCTCGGAACACTTTGCCTCCTCCACCTCCTTCTCCTCCTCCTCCTCCTTCTCTTCTTGCTCGATTGCAGCGACGGCATGCCGCCAATGAGTGAGAACCTATGCGGCCTGTCACAATGAGGGGCCATCCCACTAGAACGGGGCACTGCAGTATCGGGTTCCCAGATGTGCATGCACATGGGGTGGGCCGCGTGGAATTTCGTAATTCACTGCAGCGGCTCGATGGGGAGGGGAAACAGGGAAGTAGGAAGAGGAAGCGAGGGCAGGGGAGAAGGAACGAGAGGGATAGTCAGCGGCCATGCAGGGGGTGGAGGGCGGGGGTGGGGACAGGCAATGGAGGGGAGGGGAGCGGAGGGGAGAGGGGAGGAGAGAGGGGCGGGAAAAAGAGGTATGTCAAGGACGAGAGGGAGGTGGGCGAGGGAGGGGGCGGTGGCGGTGGCGGCAGCGCTGGCAGCAGCGGTGTCGACGACGGTGGCGGGTGCGGAAGCGGATGGCTGCTCCTCATCGGTCTGTTCTAAGACGGCAGTTTTGGTTGCCAGGGCTTCTTCAAGCGCGCCGCGGCCCCCATGGTCGGCACTTACGCTCCGGTGCCCTTGCAGGCCCTGCGTCGGCACCTTTCTCTACTTCCCTCCTGCTGTATGCCCACAGTTGTGTCCATCCGTATTTTCACATACCAGATAGCACCATCGCTTCTGCTGTCAAATGGCATGTTTTCTTTTGTTCTCGCATGCTATATTCTCTTTGTGGAAGGTGTGCGCTTGTAAGTCTTAGTGGAGGTCCTCCTACCTCCTTCCCCTCTCGTCCTCGTCGTCTTCATCGCCGTCGGCGTCGGCGTCATCGTCGTGGTGGCGGTGGTGGTCGTCGTTGTTGTCGTCGTCCTCACGCGCTTCTACAACACCTGTTCTTCCTAATCCAACCATTTTGACTCAAGCCGCTGGTTCGAGGAAGTCCAGTATTTTACGATTCGTTGCATGCCCTCCTTGCTTTCGCGCCTCTTCTAGCCATCGCCTCCATATGCCCAGCTCATGACCTCGATCGTGGCGTAGCGTATTGCCTGCCTTGCTCGCGTGCGTTGCGGTACCTGGAGCTCCAGACTGGCTTGCCCTGGTCGTTTTAAACCCGCACCGCCGAGATCTACCACGCATGTCGACAACGTGCGTTTCTTCACCAGCGCCTGTGGCGTCAAGTTGTGGCCCTTGCTCTTTTCCGCGCTGCGCGGGGAACACATGCAGCAGCGGAGCGCACTCTTCGGAGCGCCGCTGCCTGCGGCGGGTCCGCCCACTCCGCACGGGGATCTCGCCAAGCAGGCCGAGCAAGGCATCGTCGAACACTACATCCTGAACCGCGGGCAGGTGGAGCATTTGCGACGGTGCGCCTAGCGGTGGCAAGTGCTTGCAAGGCGGAGTTAGCAGCGCCAGTGGTCGGTGTTGCCCCGGTCGAGTACTTGTTGATCACAGGCGCCTGGTATGATGTCGCGTGCAATGCGGTCCAGTTTTTCGTGGGGGACGATTTCCACAAGCTGCAGAAGCCAGGAGGTGCGAGGCCGGGCAGCGAGGAGAGATAGCAGCATCGAGCTAGAACACCCAAGCGACTCGCTTAGGAGGAGTGCGACAGGAAAGGGAAGATGAACTGGGGGTGTGGCCGGGCATTGGTTCGCCTGGGTGGTCGCCCCCGTCATGGGCCCGGGATCTGCCCGCGCAGCCAGCCGTTGACAGGGTCAAGCAGCATGCGTCCAGCCCGGTTCGCTCCCTGCCCGGTCTGTCGTTGCGGCCACGCAGCTGCCGCCAATTTGCTTGCTCCAGGTTTGGGCTGATATGTCAGCGTCCCACTTTGCACCAGGAGGTGAGCTTCCGAGCGATGGTGTTCGCACGTGTGGTCACACTTGTCTGCCTGTGTTTCTGCCGCTGCTCGCCCGGGTTACGTTTTTTTTTTTTTTTTTTTTTTTTTTTTTTTTTTTTTTTTTTTTTTTTTTTTTTTCTACCGTGTCCCTATCAACATCAACCGTTAGAGGGCACACGCATGCGTATCGCTGCCCAAGACAAGACCATCGCCATGTTCATGGCATCCTTCAAGCAGCTTCAGACGCGCGCTACGCGTACACTCTCTCTTGTTGCCGCGGCGAGCTGCTTTTGGTCTTCTCCTGGCGCGCCCGGTGAGAGCCTCAAGGGCTGCGGGTAGGGGGGCAGGCCCCCTTGAATTGTTAGTGCGCCCGCAGGACACAGGCGCAGATGATGGACCGGCCCTCAAGGAGGCATTCGAAGGTGACCGAAATTCGGCCGCAACCACGTGGCTGGATCCATCTGCCAGGCTGCGGCACTGACTGGTTTCATAATGTTCGGGGAAGCGTCTTCCGGAACGTTCTGAGCACTTTTTCTGGCAGGGCGTCTCCAGAGCATTCTATTTTACGTCGGGGCCCAGCGAAAATCAACGACGGTAGCTGGATCCATCCTCCAGGGCTGGAGTCGCCAATGCAATGGCGCTTCGCCTTTCGGGCCGTTCTCCCCAGCGCGCGCGCGCTCCACCTGCTGGACATGTTCGTCCAGAGCTGTTTCGGCTCAGGCTTGAGCCGGGGCGGCAGCCCGGGACTGCCGAGGTCCCAGCCGCTGCGGCGGGCCTGCCGGCCGAAATCTCCCGCCCTCCCGACCTGTAAGTCTAGTGGGGTTTGCGCGGCGCGAGGCGCCCTTGCCTGACCCAGGCGACGGCCAGGATGGCACGCTGTGCCAACTCCTGGCCGCCCTGTCACGGCGCAGGCTCACGTTCGCACTGCGCCCGGGTCCCGGTAGCCTCGCCGATTTGCCGCGGCCTGGATCCGTCGTGCGCAAACGTAACGTAGCGGGCGGTGGCGTCGGGCACCACGCTCACAGTTCGGCGGTGCCGCCCGCCCCCTGCCAGGAATCGCGCCAAGCATGTCGTGCGTGGTGTTCGTTTCCGCCGCGGGGGTTTGATTCATGGCCTAGCCAAACATCCGGCCAGAGGTACACACTCTCGTGGCCCATGCGGCTGGCGTTCCCTCCTTGCCCTGCACGGACTGCCAATGCATGTAGCTAGGCGTCCTCGCTCTCGTCGCCCGTTCCTTCATGCTCCTCCCCCTCCTCCGTTTCATGCTTGGTTTGCTTCTGCGGAACCTGCCTGGTGCCAGTGACGTCTGTCATTTCCACATGTCCGGTCGTCGGGATGCGATTGTCGGCGCCGCTTCCTCGTGAGCTAGGGTTCAAGACGAGGTGAGTTCACAAGAACGAGTCCTCGGCATATGAGCGCTGATTGCTCACCTTCTGCCGCCCGCTTCCCGCCTCACCTTTTCTTCTCTCCCTTTTCTTCCCCTGCCCTCTCTCCTCACCTTGTCCAGATCTTGCTACATGTGCTGTGCCCGTGTAAAAGCTTCCAGCCGTGAACTAGTCGCCACTCCTGAGCCTTGGGGGCGGGTCCAGCGGAGTGGAGTGGTGGCGTGCGCAGGTCCAACCAGACCCTGAGTACCTAGGAGTTGCTTGATGTACACCAGTTTCTGAGGGGCTCATTCGATTTCTACAGTCAACACGGATCGTAAGGATGGACGACTTTCCAAGGTTCCCCTTGCATCCTTCCCCTTCGGCCCGTCCTTGGCCACCCTCGCTGGCCGCGCCCCGTTCCAAACGTGTCGGCATGGCCTTCCAAGGCCCTGGCACGCTTATAGTGCAACCTTATTATGCGCGTCGGCTGTATCCCCAGCCTTTCTTGAACAGCATCTCGGGGAACTTCACATATACAACTTTTCAGGCCCACCGACCGAAACCCCAGCGCGCTCCCGGAAGAAACTCATCGCGCTCTGCTTACGCATCATACCATCATACGCACCACCCAACAGATCGACACATGTCGGACTATTGCTGAATACGTCTGCCCATTGGTTTAGATCTAAAACCAATTCCCATCGCTGAGGCAGTTTTTTGGAAGCAAAGGGCGCAAACAACCGATACTTCCATCCCTACCCCCTGCCACGCCACCAATTTCGCGAAGTCTTTGGCACCGGGCACGGATTATTTTTCGCACCCTTCACCCCTTGCCAGGCTGGCAATTTCGAAGAGCCCCTGGCGCGGGGAATTTGGTTAACCTTCGATGCCTGACTGGCGCGCTTGGGTAACCTGTCCCTCGTTGCGACCTGGTTGACCTCTTCCTGAGCCTACTCGTGGCCAGCACTGTTTCGGGACGAGCCTATCTTGGGGCAGTCCAAACATTGCAGTCATGACGCTGAAACAATGACCTCTTTGGGCTTGGGAGGGGCTCGGGTCTGCGGGCCGCTCGCGAGATATACAGTCGGGGCGCTGAAGAAGGGACCCTTTTCGTTAGGGAGGGGATCGGTGTTTCTCGATTGTTGTGCAGTTTGCCCTGGGTTTCCCTAGGCTTTCAATGGGAAACCGGAGTTTAACTTATGGGAGAAAAGGGGGTTCGCTCCTTCTTTATGGCTCCTTGGGTCAACGCCCCGACGGTATGCCGTGGAGCCTGTCTGTGCCACTGGTCCGCCGTGGCTAGAAACATGCCCCTTCGTTCCTCGGCAGGCGTTCCTCATGGTAGCACGGTGATCGGAGGTTGCGGAGCGGGAGGAGGAGGAGAAGGAGGAGGATGAGGAGCATGAGGGGGAGGAGGAGCAGGAGAAAGAGGATGAGGAGGAGGAGGAGCAGGAGAACAAGGAGGAGGAGGAGGAGAAGGAGGAGGCGTGGACCCCGGCCCCAGGGAGCGCTGCTGCTCCCCGCCTTCCTCTCCTCTCCTCGCATCCTGCCCTCCGTGCCTCCAGGCCTCCCAGATGGGGCCCGAGTAGATGGGGGTCTCGGAGGTTGATAGACCTCCTACCTCGACACGTTGATCAGCGAATTGGCCGTCTTCGGTTCGCGAGAGGGCGTCGCGGCCGTCACTCTTGCGGGTCCAGGTCCGTCGGTTTCGGTCCTAGGCCGTTTTCAAAAACGGGTGGCTTACTAAAGGGAGGTTTGTCCACCGCCGAGATGACTTTATTGGCGCCCTGCGCATTCCCACCAACCAACCCACAACCGATGCCCGAGCCCAGGCGAGATGCCTCCATCAGGGAATTGTAGCAATATGCCGTGGAAGCACAAGGACGAGGAGCAATAGGAGAGGGAAGCGGGAATCTGAGGGTCATTATCAAGAGGAGGAGGATGAGGAGGAGATGGAGCAGGAATGAGGTTGAGCAGAGGGAGGAGGACCCATGCGGAGCGCGTTCCCGCCCAACTGCTGGCAAGTCCTACAGAGGGCCAGGATGACAGGGGAGGAGGAGGGCTGGAAGGATGGCCAGCGGTCAAACAGGATTGGTAATTACGGCTGTAGCCCGCCACTCTTTGGCCCGAACGCTCTCCCCTTGGGGCTCTCTTGGGTCGGGGCGCTCTTGGGCGTTCTTGGAACTGTCTTGGAGTCGTCTTGGGCCCCTCTCGGGGCTCTCTTGGTCAGGCCTGAACAGCGAATTGGAAACGCACAGTCTAGAATGCATGCGCCATTGCTTTTGGTTAGGTATTGGGCGGATGTTAGCCTCCAGGGGGCATCCTTGGGATGCTCCGTGGCCACTCGTAGCCCCGTCTTGGGCGGGTCTTGTGTCTTGATGCCTCTTTGAGGCGTC